CCCCCCCCCCCCCCCAATAAGAGCTTAAATTTTGTGGGTGTCATAAGGAAGGACTTTTCCGAGTAACGAGCGACCACCCCAATAAACACAATAAAGAAGAGACCTAACCCTAACCCTAGGCTAGGCCTACCCCAAAAAAGAACCTGCAAAGAGCCTCATGTAAAAAGGCCAGCACAAGTCCAAAATGAAGAAAAAAAAAAAAAAAAAAAAAAAAAAAACACTCCAAAACAAAGAGCATGCATTATATGGCCTACCTACATCTAGAATCTATATCTAGATCTAGATCTACATTGCTATTATAATAGGGTTTGATACAATTTCGTAACACAATAGAATTGGAGTATGAATCCTCCATACCATATATAGAAATCTAGATCTAGATCTATTAATCTAAATAAATCTAGGTCGATATCTTGTAGAACAAGTGAATAGGAATAGGCCTTGAACTAGAAATTCGCATCCGATTCCGAAAAGAGGGACTCAGCTGAGTATAGATTCTAAATAATTCACGCACCTGATGAAATGCTTTTTACCAACGGCTTACCAACATTTATATTACAGCACAACCTATGACTACGATAGGGTTTGACACAATAGAATTGGAATATGAATCCTCCATTGAGGTCTATAATGATCTATATAAATCTAGATCTAGATTCTATTAGAACAAGTCAAGTGAGTGAATGAATCCACACGATCTCAACAATTGAATTTGTCAACAAACGAAATTCAAAATGGCCGCTCGAGCACGAAACTGAAAGTAGATAATTTAGGTCGTCGTCCTTTTTCGTATTCGCATTTCTACTCGGGTTCCGACAATTATGTCGGAAACGCCGACGTCGGCAGTCGGCGGAGCGCGCGTCGGCGGTCGGCACGAAAACGAAAAGTGCCGACAAAGCCGACGGGAGAAAAAGGGGGCGCTGGCAGTCGGCCAGGCCTCGCACTTCGCACATTGACTGATACAGGTGGGCCTAGCGATAGCATCGGCCGGTTCGCGATTGTCGGATTTCAGACGATTGTCGGCAAACATGCAGGTCTAATTACAATAGAGCACAAAAAACTGCTACAGCAGCTCTCACAACACCTCCATTTTCCGACAAAATTCGGACGCCGGCTACAAACCTGGAGGTCGTTGGGCAGCGCCTGCCTCTCATGCATGGAGGCCACGTGGGCGATGGTGGCCTTGAGCTGGTCGGCTCGCTCCTTCTGCTCGATGAGGTCCTTCTGCGTGTCCTCGATCAGCTTCTTGGCATCGTCCAGGGCGTTCTGGAGCTCCATCTTCTCCGACTCAGACTGTTCCAGAAGCTTCTCCATCTTGCTCACCTCCGTCACCTGCACCGACCAGACAGAGACAAGTGTTGCACTATGTCAAAATACAGGTAGGACAAGGAGAATTGTAGCACTTCCTCTAAATTAATACAGACAGGGCAGAGAGAATTGTAGCAAATTGTAGCACTCCCTCTAAATTAATACAGACAGGACAGAGAGAATTGTAGCAAATTGTAGCACTCCCTCTAAATTAATAGACAGGACAGAGAGAATTGTAGCACTCTCTCTAAATTAATACAGACAGGACAGAGAGAATTGTAGCAAATTGTAGCACTCCCTCTAAATTAATACAGACAGGACAGAGAGAATTGTAGCAAATTGTAGCACTCCCTCTAAATTAATACAGACAGGACAGAGGACATAGTAGTACCTCTCAAAATACAGTCAAGACTGGAATTGTAGCACTCCCTCTAAATTAATACAGGCAGGACAGAGAGAATTGTAGCATTCCCTCTAAATTAATACAGGCAGGACAGAGAGAATTGTAGCACTCCCTCTAAATTAATACAGGCAGGACAGAGAGAATTGTAGCATTCCCTCTAAATTAATACAGGCAGGACAGAGAGAATTGTAGCACTCCCTCTAAATTAATACAGGCAGGACAGAGAGAATTGTAGCACTCCCTCTAAATTAATACAGCAGGACAGAGAGAATTGTAGCACTCCCTCTAAATTAATACAAGCAGGACAGAGAGAATTGTAGCACTCCCTTTATATTAATACAGGCAGGACAGAGAGAATTGTAGCACTCCCTTTAAATTAATACAGGCAGGACTGAGGACATAGTAGTACCTCTCAAATACAGTCAGGGCAAAGAAATTGGTCGCACCA